CTCTTTCCCTCAACTTCCTAGTCAGCTCCTGCAGCTGCTGCTTCTCCCGTTCTAACTCTGTGATTGTGGCCTGGCGCTGAAAGTGTTTGTCCTGAAGGCTGAGGAGAGCAGCGTTTTCCTCCAGTATTACTTGGTTCTGTACTCCAGGCTTTTCTTGATGTGTCTGGAGCGTTCCATGTAGCCAGGCAATTTCATGTGCTTTTACTTTTTCTAAGAGCTGTGTATTCTCCTGCTCTAGGTACTGGTTTTCTTGACAATGTTCTTCTATAATATGGGGTACATTCATAATCTTTGGTACACACTCTTCCGGTGTCTGATTTAGTTCAAGGACCTTTTCATCAGGTCCGACTTCCAGGTTATCTAAATGGGCTTCCCATAAGGAGAAGCAGTCATACGGCAGCACAGCTCTTTCTTGCAGCTTCTCCACCTTGTCTTGAAGTCTCAAAACCAGAACATGCAGTTCCTCATTTTCTCTTTTGACCTCGTCATAACTCTTTTCCAGGGTAAGGAATGTTTCAGTCAATTCTTCAATTTTCTTTAGCTCATCCTGTAATCGGAACATTTCTGAAGTGAGTTCTTTGTTATTTTCTAGTGCTTCATCGTACCGCGTCTCCATCACTCTCAGCTCTTCCTGAAGACACTCGTTTTCTCTACTAGCATCTTCATATAACAATTTATACTTGGCGGAAGCCTCAGGGATTCTTTCAAGCGTCTTTAATTTCTTTTTTAGCACAGAAACATCAAAAAGTAAGTCCTGTTTCTTTTCAGAAGCTCGGTCACAGTCTGCGCGTAAAATCATTAGTTGTTCCTGAAGCTGGCCAATGTGATTCTTTAGGTCCCAGGTTTCAGTCCTGGTCTCCTCACTATTTTCAAGCTCAGAAAAACTCTCTATTGATGCTTCAGACTCCTCTATTCTGACCTCCTGTCTCTGACCAGAGCTTGTCCCCGTACTTTCCAGATCCCGGACCTCATCGCCTTGCAGGTCACTTAGGACGTGCTGCATTGTTCCACCTTCTACTTGTTTCATTCGGTTTGGCAGTAAAAATGGCTCTGTTTGTTCCTCGGAATTTCCAAAAAACCCAGTAGTTGGCTCATCTAAACAAGAAGACATTACTGACTCTGGCTCTAATTTTTGCAGCCTCTGTTGCAACCTAGAAATTTCAGTTGCCATTTTCACATTTTCCTTCACTGCTCGTTCATGAGCTCTTTGCAGGCTTAAGAGGACGCCTCCGTTCTCTTCCAACAGCTGCTCTCCTTGCTGGAGCAGGGACATGGCTCCACTTCCTGCCACTTCCTCCCTTCCCACTGCCTGGCAGCCATTCTGAAGCCTGGAGGGAGGAGATCCCACCTGCTCCATTTCCTTCATTTTATTCTGAAGCCTGGAGATTTCTGTGCTCATCTCAGCCCTCTCTCGATCTGCTTTCTCACAGGTCGCTCTGTAGACACTCTCCACGGCCAGAAGCTTGGACATCATTTCCTGCCTCTCCTGGTCACGTTCCCTTTCGAGCCTTTCAAGCCTCTGGCTGGCCAGCTGCTCCGAGGCGCCTGCCTGGCACAGGACCTGCTCACGGTCCTTCAGTTCTCTTTCGTGACTGCTCTTCAGCTCAAGTATCTGGCTGGACAGCAGACTTTGCTGACTTTCGGACACAGTTCTTAGATCTTCCAGGTCTTTGAGTAGCTGCTGTCTCTCAACAACCAGGCTATTCAAATGTTCTCTGTATGTTTTCTCCAGCATCTCTCTCTCCTGGGTCAGGACCAGAGAAGTCGCTTTCTCTCTCTGGAGAGTCTCTTTAAGCTGCTCCTGGGCTTCTGCACACTCCTGGGTGAGCTCATCCTTCTCAAACTCCCACTGGGATCTCTCCTCGCGCTGTTGTTCCAGGGCCTCCTTCAGCTCTCGGCGGTAGTGCCCCTCCAGACTTCGCAGAGCATTTTCATATCTCTCAGCGACTTTCTGACAGTCAGCCTGAAACTGGGCTTCTATCTGAGAGGTTCTTCTATTACACTCAGTTTCCATTTTTTCCCTAAATGTGGTCAACATACAGCATTACTGAAACTGCCATCAACTCCAGAAGCAAACAAAATACATTTTCCCATGCATAGAAGAAGCAGCCAAGCAAACAATTTAAATATTTTCTAAACATGGTCTTCACTTATTCCTATGTGATTCAGTTATACTGAGAAGGGATCTCATTTCTGAGAGCCAATGCTGGCAGCCATAATTAATTTAAAAGACTTACTTACCTCTTTCTGCATTTAGAAGGAAAATTTAGAAACCAGATTCTTTGGTTTACTCCCAGATGTATTTGTTTATGGATTTTTAGCCAAAAACGTAGGCTGACATTTCACATTAAATGTTCAAATGCATATTAGCCTAAACCCTAATTTGGGAAATACATAAAATTCTTCCATTTTAATTAAGTAGACATTGGTGGATAAATAGTCATATAAACCACACATATTAACAAATTCATTATGTTTTGCTTTTTATTTAATAAAGTAGCACCGGGTTAAAGTATGACGCACCAAAGCCCTGAAAAGTACCTGAGATTTCACGTGAGGAAAGTAAGCACAAAATGGTGTTTCATAACTCTGGAAAGAAATGTAACTTTGCCCAGAATCTAGCTTATAAATGGCCTTTCTCAGAAAACAGCAAGACTGAACTAGGAAGAAATCACATTTGTGATAATCTTATCCTCATCTGGAACCTTAAAAAGTACATGCCTGATACAAAAAATACTTTCCTCTTTCTAAAAAAAAGTTTCAATACCCCAAGGTAGGCTTATATCTAAACAACGGCAAAACAATCTGAAAAACTAAAAAAGAATCTAGTCAGTCAGTGGGCTATTATGTCTTCTGATTTTTCAAAGTCTCCTTAATTGACTGGGATTTCTGGTGCCCCCAAGAAACGGTGCCCCAGGTTCCTCCATTTCCCCCATTTTCTTACCTTCCCTCATGTAGTTCCCTTTGGTGTTTTTCCAAGAGCTCTTTTTGCAATTCCTCTTTCTCAAGAGTATGCTTCTGCACCAGGCTTTTCAGCTGTTCCTGGTGAACTTGTTCTAGTTCCTGAGTCAAGCTTCTCACCTTCTCTTCTGTCCAGGCACCATTTTGAATGAGTTTTTCCCTCTCTCCATTAAAGCTTTCCTCTGCCTGCTGCAGCCTAGCCCTTAGCTCCATCTCATGCTCCAGCCTCAGCTCCTCCTGCAGGTGAGCCTTTTCCTCATCCCACTTCATTTCCAGTTGTTTTTTCTCCTCCTCATGTCTGCAGATAGCCGTGTGTTGTACCTCCTTGAGTGCCACTGTCTGGCCCTGAAGTTCTGCAATTTCATTTTTAAGGTCACTTATTTGTTCTTCCAAGATGTGCACTTCATTCTCATACTTTTGCTTCACGTTCTCCTGCTCCTTTTTACAGGCAACCTTGGTTTCATCTAGCTGCTTTTCATAATGATGCACCTGAAGCCAGAAAGTAAAACCACCACAATGTTATTCAACTCAAGGCCATGCATGGAAAGGTGATGGGGCAGTAATTACTTTTCTCCTACAAGACATTCCTCAGTTTTCCCATTCTTTGTTTTAAAGTAACAATTCAAAAACACATTAAATAAGGTATTTTTAAGTCAGGCATGGTTTGATTACCTTTTTAACTTGGTTGAATTTTATTAGTTTCTGAACAACTCTATTAAAACTGACTAGACCTTCACAGAGATACCATTTGTCTCCACTCAGGGAGACAAACTCAGGGCCTTAACATAGTTAATTAAATTTAAGTATTTGTTTAACACCTGTCAGGTACCCTGCAGGCCTCGTGGGGACACAAAGTTGGGTAAGACATAGCCCCTGTCATTAAGGAAAAACCACTCCAGACATGCTCACGACAACTACAAAAAAGTATACTACAAGTCAGAATAAAACATATAAAAGGTATAGGAAAAATAGTTACAATGTAACCTGGGATTCAAAGGAGGGAAAAATCACATTTGGTTGGGAGAATTCAGGAATGTAAGAGGCAGCATTTGATATAAAGTCTGAAGGTTAAGTAGATTTTCAAGAGGTAGAAAGAAATAATAACACAACACGTAATAGCATGAGCAAAAGAGGACAGGTTGATGAAGAGCAGCAAACTACCTAGTTTGGCTGGAACATAAGGTAACTCAAAGGAATGCTAAAAGAGAAGACTGGAAATATAACCTAAAGCAACATGGTAAAGGGTTTTGAAGGCCAAGATTCAGAATTCGTACCTAATTTAGGAAGTAATGCTATATCGAAGGGATTTTTAGTTTTATTAAGATGTCTTTCAATGAGCTGGAAATAATGTAATCATCTGCAAGTTCCATGCTTGCTAGGACTAAAGATACCACATTTTTAAGAAACTCTCTCCTATGAGGAAAAGGCCTCACCCTTGGCCTGTGAAACCATGCTGAGGTAATGCGTTCCTGGTAGGCAACAGGACACAAGAGGAAATGTATAGAAAGTGCCGCTCTTTGAGAAAAAAGAATTGAGAATGTCCTACATGCAAAAGCTTGTCAGAGCTCAAAGAAATCAGAGAACAGGACTGATAAAAAGGTCTTACTTTATCTTCAAGCTCCAGTCTCAGGCAACACAAGTCCCTGTGATGTTGTTCTTTCATCTGTTCGATGACCAGCTCCGCCTCGATGCTCATATTCAATGGATTGCATTCTTCAGAACCAAGCCCTGAAAACACATCGGATCTGTTGACCCTGCAGCAGGTTCTTTCAATAACACAACTGGCATCTAAGGAAGGATATCCAGTTTAATTGAGGAATAATTTTTAGCTTAAATTACTACAGATGAGATCTACTAGGAAACAACAGAAGCCAAGAGAAGTGTCTTGTTTTTAAGTATTAGGAAAAACAAGAAAAAGTGACGGTGAACAGATTCTTTCATGTACAGGCAATGTACCAAACCTTAGTAGAATCCAACAGAATAGCAGGTGGGAATAGATGTGGAAATTGTTGCTTAAAGGTGACCTCCTCCTAATGAAAATCCTGCAGAGTGAGGTAGTTAGGTCAAACCAATCAGCCTTCTTTCCATCCAATGAATACTGAGTGACAAGTTAGCAGAGGGGCAATGTGGCAGGAGAATGAATGGCCAGCATACTTGCTATGCTTTGAGGTGTTAACTTCATGGGTCAAGATATCCAACCCACCCCTCAACATTACAAAAGATTCAGTATTGTAATATTAATTTCCTGTAGTGCAGATAGGGCCTTACCTTAAATTATCAGCTAAATTTTTTTAAAGAATAGGGCATAGGTTAGGAACCTGGATATAGGCAGATTCGATAGAAAATTCTCAACTCATTCATATGAGTTCACCTCTGCAACTGCCCATGATGATGACTGAGAAGGACACTGAAATGTGAAGCATAAGCTGAGGGCTGAGCTAGTACAAAGACAAAATGATTTACATCTACTACTACGTGGAAATCTCTTAAGGCAGGGGACGCAAAAAAGCTTTTCATGTGGAGATACACAGGCAGATGCAAGAAAGAGCGTAAGTCTAGCATCTGGAATCGGCAGTCCTGCTTTGGGCTTTCTCTTCATCTATCGTGGCACATCCCCAACTGAGAAGCGATACCTGGGGTGTAAACCACCCCAAGATGACACAGCCTCATGTACCCATGAGGAGAACTCCCAGCCCTTGGTCATCTATGGAAAAGCCCAGAAAAGCTTCTGAGATACATCATATCAGTTGGGCTCCATTCTTATACCACAGTAAGGCTACAGAGTACAGACTTAGAATCAGAGGAAAGGTGTTCAAGCCTGTCCCTGTCCCCTCCCCAATCCCTTATTTATTCCAGAATAAATAGGTAAGGAGAAGAATAAACAACCCTTGTAAGAACCTGCACTCCTGTTCCAAGGAGCAGTGGGGAAAACTATTGATGATGAAGAATTGATTATAAACCCTTTCTGAAACTGAAATTCAACACACTGGAGGAAAGGGGCAGGATGCCAGGAGGGAGGAAAAGAGCTGATAATGAATGTAGGAGGGTTCCCAAATGACTCTGCCTTCCAACCTTGCTACTCAAAATCCTCCTCAAAGGTACGGACAACCAAGGTTTATTTATCTTATTTGTTGTTTTGCAGACATTTAGCACAGCCAGCATAAGGAAATCAAATTTTGTGGTTTCTGGCTGGCTCGCTCTCCAAAACACTGTCATACCAGTTAGGCACTCTTTTAGAAAGGGAGGATTCAGCAATAGCTCAGTGACTGAATTCTAACACTCCCAAGGCCTGGATTCTCACACTTGTGGCCAGTTTTTTTTTTTTTGTAACAAACGAAGCAAATATCCTTGTGGTTTGATTTTTCCATTTCTTTGTTGATGCATATAAAAATCAGATGGAAATATTCTCATAAAGACTTCAAGGACAAATGAAAAAAACAGACCACAAGTGAAACAGC